AATTCGGCCATTGCCTACGCCTATTTCCTACCACTAGGACGAGGACCAGTCTACCTGATAGATTGTCCTAATCGGTTACAGTAGTGCAAAACCACTTTGCTACTTCGAACAAATAAATCCCTTTCCGGGACATATCAGTTTATATCTGTAAAAAGCTTTTGTTGTATAGACAGCTTGTTTGCAATAAGACTTACGGGAAAACCAAATATGGAATTCTTCAATTATTATCATTATGTTAAGTCTTACCGTAGTTTCCGGCTTTGTTTATCAAATTTATTTTTCAAAAATCAAATTTCAATTATCTTTTATTTAACCCATAAATTCACGATTATTAAATCTATTTTCTTGCTTTAAATAACCTGCAAAATGTTCATAAGTCATAAAAAAACATCAGCCAGTATAGCTGTTCCGTCTGGTGTTTGCTGCTACTTCACAGGCAGCACGACTTCGAAGGAGAAGGACAATTCTGAATTCAAAACCTGATTATCCCTTAAAAATTGGCTTATTAAAGAAACCGCAAAGATATCCTTTGTTCCTCAAGGAATCTAAAGGCATAATATATAACTTGTTATCTCTAATCCATATGGCTATTTATTTGATATGCTTAGTATTTACTCATTCCATATTCTGAATTTTTATGATAGTACAATCCAACAATACACAGCATGCGTATTAAATACGAATATTTCTGGACAGAAAAATAAAAATTAAAAGAACTGATTGACCTGATTTAATATGGCAGACATTGTCCCTGCTATGCGATCACATTAATCATTCTACAGTTCATAGAAACTAAATAGAATTAATCAGTTTCTTTTTATGCAGCCTCTAAATCTGATTAAATTCCACATTCCGAATTAGACAACCTCTTATTGAAATGAAATTCCCAAATATTACAAATAAATGTCAAAGATAAATCTTCTTTCTGTCTGCTGCCAGTAAAACTAGTCGGCAAATGTCGAACCGGCATTTAATCTCTAAATCTCCTTTGATTCTCGTGCATTTCTCGTCCAATTCTCGTTAGCGACTAGTCATAAAATCTCGTTGGCAAACGAGTTGCCTAATTCCATTTTAACATTTTTCTAATTCGGTGCATACAGTCCCGTTTATGCAGACGTGCGTGTTTCATTTTAAAAATTATTTAAACTGAAAGTTCTAAATATATAAAAAAATAAATAAAAAATACATAAAAAAGAATTTGAAGATCGTATATAACCAAGAAAAAAGAGAGGTATTTATTAATAACTAAATGTTTCAGTCTTTTAAGTGAAAAGAGTTTCCAGTTTCCACCGATTGTGTGTGCGTGTGTGTATCTGTGTACGTGTGTCTGTGTGCCTCCTGTGTGTGTGAGTTTGTGTGTGTCTTGTGTATGTGTATCCGTGTATGTGTTTGTGTGTGTATGTTTATCGGTGTATGCCTTTGTGTGTGTATGTGTTTGTGCCCAGTGCGTGTACGTGTGTGATATCTCAGCCATTACTCTGATATATCTCAGACAATACTTTAGTATTCTAGAGATATCTCCCCTACACACACACACACACACACACACACACACATATACACACACACACACACACATATATATATATATATATATATATATACATATATATATATATATGTGTGTGTGTGTGTGTGTGTGTGTGATGTTCTTTCAGGTTTTAGGCGATCATCGCTCTTCACCAACTTCTATCCCATGCAGCTCACAACATGTCCATTCCCTTTGCTTTCTCCCCAAGAACACGTTTTGTCATCCATTTGCTTAAGTATGTTACGCATTATTTTCTTTTGTCTCTGTTTCCCTCTATTCGACTCGTGAGTATCAAATTCTCCAGACTCTCATTCCTCATTAAGTAGCCCGGAAACTTCAGTTGCCTTTTCCTCATATTAAGTATAAGCCTCCTCCTTGTTTGCAACCTCTCTCATCCTTGCTCACATCCTCGGTCCATGATATAGTTAGCATCTTTAACATCATATATATATATATATATATATATATATATATATATATATATATATTATTATTATTATTATTAATTAAATAAGAGTAAAGTTTATATTCCTCCTCTCTTCAATCAGTTTGAGGTGTTAACGTCTTCCGCAGGTAATGTTGACTAAAATGTGTCTGGAGCCCCATCATTCATGAACCAGAAGCGCCTTCGTATTAGCAGTGATACATCCTCTAGCAGGTCTGGGAGTGTGTTCGAAATAAAGTCCATGTAAATATCTCATGTAAGACGTGTTGGAAGAACATATGGGCCTACTAGACAGTCACTTACAATTTCAGCCCACACATTAATCGTAAATTGATGCTGGTGTCTCGCCATAACACGGGTATTCCGATCAGTCTGCAAATGTTGGTTGTGTAAAATCTCTTCCAAATGTTAACTCATCCGTAATCAAGACTTTTGTGCTATCTTGATAACTCTTCCTTATTTCCCGCTTCCTAACACTAATGTTTCTCTTTTCTAACTATTCCACACCAAGTAAGATCTTTTGTCCTTGTGGTTTACTGCCTTGTTTGGGGTGAATACGCTTAACACACACACACACGCACACACACGCACACACGTGTTTGTGTGTGTGTGGGCGTGTGTATTTAGGCAGCAAATATTCATCTTTCATTAAATAATATAAACATATGTCTATTTATTTTAATATCGGTAAGATAATTATAATCTTACCGCGAAAAATTATCGTACAATCTAAAACGGATACAATATGGCTTCTTTATATCGACAAATATATTTCTATATAGAACGAATATGACTTGATTATTTAGAAAAATACTTTTCAGTCTAAAAGGATTATAGTTTGTTCATATAGAAATTATACTTCTATACATAAAGAATATGACTGGTAATATAAAAATAAATTCTATAGTGTTTGAGTTGTTGTTGTTTTTTAGTTTATTAAGAAATTAACAGAAACCAGCCGAGATCTGGAGCCTTCTATTAAAAAACAACTGTGTCTTCCTACAAGAAAAATTTTAAGATCTAGAAGCTGTTTCTCTGATAGAAAATGGATATAGATTCGTTTGTAATCAATTTGAACAATTTTTATTTTGTAGAACTTCTCGCATTCGCGGTGATAAATTTAAATGTTTAACAAAATAAAAAGATAGTGATATTAGCCCAGATACGTGAATCCTCTCAAAATAACGTTTATATCAATAAGCAATATATATCTATTGAGGCAAAAACCCAGCGAAGCGACAGTTTCATACTTAAAAGAAATCTTCAGGCCATGTGTCACATGGCCCTGCACATTGCGTTTAAACATGAAACAGACCTTCGCTACTGGGTGTTGACGTCAATGTCTACTTTTATATTTACGTAAGCTCTATTCCTGATATTGAGCACATTAACACATAATATAGCATGCCACAAAACTATATCATTATTAAAATTTTTATATATATATATATATATATATATATATATATATATATATATATAAATATTACGCAGTTCATGACTGTTATATTTTTCTTATATATCTTATTCGGTAGTTAATCTAAATTGCTCGTACCTGTTTCTTTAATTTGTTTTTCTCCCTATTTCCCCCTTCTCTCTTTTCTCTTTCCCTCTCTTTACATATATATATATATTATATTTATATATATTTATTTATTTTTATTATTTATATATATATATATATATATATATATATATATATATATATATATATATATAAAATATACTGAAAAAAAACAAACAAAAATCCTAATATGCGATTATGCTGTTTTAATGTTTAATGTCAACGTCGGACGTTTCCGTCTAATAGACCATCTTCAGGACACATTCATAAAACATAATTAACATAGACCATATACAATTCAACATGAAAAAGACGGTGGACATAAAAGCAATATTATTACCATAGGTAATTATGATCAAGTTCGGCGGTTAATCTGCCGTCAATAAATCAAGCAACACATCAGAAAAAACAAGAAACCTTGGTTAGGAAATGCTTGTATACATCATGTTATGCTATAAGTAAGTAATATTTGTCGCAAATCCGATTAATTTAACTTTCATTTTGCTAAATTTCCTCAAATAACGTTTCAGAAATATTTATTATCGTCTTGCAAGAGTTTTAAAACGGAAAATTAAGTTTTCTTTACAAATATCTAAAAAATGGCTGACGTGATTGATTTCACTGAAAGAAAAATGTAACTGTATTCCAATCAACATAATTTCTGTTGGAAATAAGCCAACGTATTTTGCTTACCAGATATAGTAAATATAATATTTTAGCTTCCATTTAAATCTAAATTGAAATCTTCAAGAAAGATTTTTCTTTTTTAAAATTTCATTTTAAACCTTACCTATACCGAATTCGCAGAGGTACCTACGTAAGATCGATAAAGACGTATACAAATTACCTGGTCTTCTTCACCTGAAGATTTAAACATTTAACCAAAAATGGAAGCTTTTAAAACATATCAATAATTTGGGCGATGAAACAGAAATATCAAAAGTAAAACGTTGTGAACAGAGGATTTTAGAAAGATTGAATATGGGTGGTTATGTTCGAACCCGTGTAGTATGGACTAGATTTCTGTGTACAGTACTTCAGGCAAACATACTGACATACACGCATATTGACTATCTCCGCTGGTTGGATTAGTCGTCCTTCTTCTTGAAACACGTTTCCGCGCAGCTTACGACTGTTTCTTTTGTTATCATCTTGTTGTGGCCAATGTTACTTCTTCCTTCTTTGTACACGTCGCAAATTTAAGCTCTCAATCCCTGTAATACGCATACAAAGCACTATAATATTCGACTTACACCAAATATCATGCAATGCGGCATTTACAGGCGAACATAATACTGTTTGTATTGCATTGGATATGTATCCAGTTCAGGCTATCAGAGGCGCATGGGACCTAAAAATTGACAAAGGGGAAGTAAATGTTCTTGGGCATTTAAAATTATATATTCGTATGGTTTTGTTTTTGTTATGTTTTTGGATTTTATTTTTAGAAAAAACAAATTTTATTTGATCAAATATGCTGTGAGTATAATGCTCATGACAATTGCAATCCTAAAAAAAAGACAATTAGATTGAGAGGAAATCAGCAAACATATTTTAAATAACAAGAAAGGGAAGAGAAATTGGTAAAAGGAAAAAATGTAGAAAAGAAAGAAAGAAAGAAAGAAAGAAAAAAAAACATAAAAGTAGAAAGAAATAAAAAAGAAAGAAAATAAAGAAAAAGAACGAAAAAGAAAAATAGAAAGAAAGAAGTAAATATAAAAAGGAAAAGAAAGAAAGAAAGAAAGAAAGAAAAAGAAAAAGGAAAGAAAGACAAATAAAAATAGAAAGAAAGAAAAAAAAAGAAAAAGAAAAATTGAAAGAAAGACAGAATAATAAAAAAAGAAAGAAAGAAAATAACAGAAAAAAAGAAAAATGAAAAATAAAGAAAGAAAGAAAGAAAAGAAGAAAAACAAGGGAAGAAAGAAAGAACAATAAACTAGAAAGAAAGAAAAAAGAAAAAGAAAGAAAGAAACAGAAAAAATAGAAGGAAAGAAAAAAATGAAAAATACAAAGAAAGAAAAATAAAAAGAAAGACAGAAAAATAAAAATGGAAAGAAAGAAAAAAAGAAAGGAAAAAGAAAAAGAAGGAAAGGAAAAAAGAAAAATGGAAAGGAAATGAAAGAAAGAGAAAAGTAAAGAAATAAAAATAGAAAGAAAGATAGAAAAATAAAAAAGAAAGAAAAATAAAAGCAAAGACAGAAAGAAATAAAAATAGAAGTAAAGAAGGTAAGAAAATGATGAATAAATAAATAAAGAAAGAAAAGGAAAATAAAAGTAAAAATAGAATAGAAAGACAAAACAAGAAAGAAAAAGAAAACGTTAGAAAGACAGAAAATTTTTAAAAAATAAAAAGAAAGAAAAAAGAAACCAAAAGAAAAAGAAAGAAAAAAGAAAGCAAAAGAAAAAGAAAGAAAGGAAGAAGAAAAAAATAAGAAAAAAAGAAAAAATAAGAAAAAAGAAAAATAAAGAAAGAAAAAAGAAAAAAGGAGGGAAAATGGGGTACAAAAATCAAAAGAAGAAAAGAATTGTGCGAAGATCATAATAAGAAAGTGAGGGACAAAGAAGAAAAAGAAGAAGAAGAAAGAAAGAAAGAAAGAGAGGTGTCTCATTTACATATGAAGTCACAAAGACTATAAATAGCTATAGCTATTACCCAGGAGATAGTTGAGTGGATACTACTTCCCATTAATCAGTAACACTACACTACAGAAAAAAAGAAGAATGATGTGATTATTGTGAAAAGTGAAAGAGCAAGATGCTAAAATTGAAAGAAAATGAAATTTTGGTTTTGTACACTCCGGCCTTTCATAGACATTTGTTGATTGAAATAGAAAGACGAATGGATACCGTTGTCCTTCATGGCTGTAAGATCCGTGACTGATTCAGTTTCTGCCCCAATTGAAAAAAGCGCTGTTTCTACGCAAGATTGATTTAAAATTGTCTATTAGTAAAGAAAATCAGAAAAAATACTTTCCATTTCCCTTTGAAACGGATGCCTCAAACAATTATATATATATATATATATATATATATATATATATATATATATATATATGTATGTATGTATACGTGTCCTACGCAGAGAATTTATATCACATATATCTACACAGCAAGCAGAGAGTAAAGGAAAAAACAAAAATAGCGTGTCATACGTATAGTATGGAGATTCTTCTGGGTTTCTGGAGAAGCCATGTTTAGGGTGCCAGAATCAAGCGGGTCGGATTCATCTACTATATCGCACGGGAAACGGTCAGTGTGGTGTTTTCCAAAATTCAGGAGTGCAAGCTGGGCTTTCTTTCAATATCTGAAGAAAATTTATCCACAAAGGAATACGGCACCATAGACATGTAAGATTTGGCAACTGGTTGCACCTAGCGAAAAGTCTGTGCAGGACGAACAAAATACTTGTCAGAACTAAGACGACACGAGTTAATATTTGGCTTTAAATTCATAGGCATGGAATTAGGACAGTAATGGATTGCTTTAGTAAGAATTAGAAGGGTAAAGATACCCCCTCATCCAAATGCCTTAGTAAGGCAAGCCAGCACGTGAAGATTAAAAGATAAATGCGTTATCTAACTGGATCTAACTAACGCCTTTATCCACTGTAACATGTGTCCTTGAGGACATCTGTGTATGAATTTCTGGGTATTATAGTCTTCACCTACAATTTTTACCAGTGCTTATATTGCAATATTTTCGTGAACCAGTGTGAAATTAATTTCTAACTATTCATTTGTATCTGTCTATATATCTGAGATGAGGTATTATGTACATTATTTACATTATTCGGACTATTGTCCTCATCTTTGTTGCCATATTTATTACAACGTTTCGGCCCTTCAGTATCTGTCTATATATCTGAGATGAAGTATTATGTACACTATTTACATTATTCGGACTACTGTCCTCATCTTTGTCGCCATATTTATTACAACGTTTCGGCCCTTCAGTATCTGTCTATATATCTGAGATGAAGTATTATGTACATTATTTACATTATTCGGACTATTGTCCTCATCTTTGTCGCTATATTTATTACAACGTTTCCTCAATGACACATGGAACAGAGGATAAAAGCGTTGGTTAGATCCAATGAGAGGACCCAAAGAGTGTGAGTTCAATTCTCGGTTAAGGCAGTGGAGAACCTTCAGATTGAAATTAGCAGGACATAACTGATAGCTGATATCCATTAAACATGGCATGTGGAACTAGAACAGTCAACCCCAATGAGCGAAATAAAGGTTTAAGTTCGACATTTCAACCACCTGAAGAAGACCAGAGAGTACAACGGCCGAAACGTTGTAATAAATATGGCGACAAAGATGAGGACATTAGTCCGAATAATGTAAATATTGTTCCTTTGGATATGTTGTATTATTTTATGTTTTCTTTGCAAAAGCCAAAATTTTATACAAAATTCACTATAAAATGTAATTTAGAAAATCTGGTCTTTTTACATGGAATTTAATTTTACATTCGATGTAATGGAATAACCTGACACCCTTATGAGTGACTACACTATAGGTAGTAAGTAACTATAAAATCAACAGACTACGTGGGACTTGTAGGAGATCTGCTGAGTAGGACTCCGACTTACTCAAGAACTATTCGACCTTCCAAAGAGCAGGACTCACTAGTGGTTTTAAAATAACATTTATTTAGTTATCCACGGTGGTGTTCCTGTGATATTCCTATTAACACGGAATATAACGACATTTTCGACTCAAAATTTGATTGTTACATAAAACTGATCTTCCACTTTATATCCAGATCATAATTTATTGTTTATTTATTAAAATCTGATTAGGTATGATTCCATCGCTTCTTACCCTCCACACTATGGGTTAATTAGCCAATTTTGTATCACGAAATCCTATTACCTCCAAATAAAATTCTTAAAATCTAAAAAATAAATTTGTTTTAAATAGACTGAAATAGGTTGATAAGCCGTAGAAAACGAATGAATCAACTTTTTCTTTGAATACCTACAGCAGTAAACTCCCCAAAATTCAAAGCTGAACTAAAAATTCCAGCTTCCATTAGAATGGCGAGATTTGAAATAGGTTGTTCTGAAAGAGATATACGCGATAAGTCGATCTTGAATAAGGATCGCTGCCTAAGTGTATTTGTTGTTTTAGGTGTAATTACAAATTTTTCATAAAAATTATTGTCTTTCCGTGTGGATTCTAATCTTTTCTGAAAATGTATTCGCTTAACGATTTATCGGCTATTCTGTGATTGATAATGTGAATTGTTTGAGTAAGCTGGATGTGCGGTTTGAGAATATTTCTAGATAAAGATGGTTGTCTCTAGTTTCTTGCACAGCTGATATACAACTTTCTGGAAATTTAACGATTGATATGTTTTTTTTTCTTATTTCGTTTTTATGTCAATTTATTTCGAAAATCTTTATGAGTCTATAGCGAAAAAAAACGGCGACTTACCTCGTGAAACCAAGCGAGAACGCGTCGTGTTTATCCTACGACGGAAAAGAAAATTACTTACCAAAAAAAGGGCGGGCACGAATTCCGCATGACATACTGAAGACGGAATATTTAGATTAAAAAACAAGTCCGTCACAGGAGTCTCTATAAAAGTATTTTGATATGCAAAAAGTTGGCGTCCGCTCCCAGTTGTCGACGAATGAAAAAAATGCTCGCCGATAAAAACAGTTGGTGTCCTCGAATCGGAAGGGAAAAATTGATGTATTTTGGCTACCGCATTCGAGAAAATTAACTCACTCTCGGAGAGTGAGTTAATTTTCTCACTGGTTACGTGCATTGGGATTTGTGTGATAGTACCTGCGAATCGAGTTTTCGGCATTTCTTTCTGCCCCCAATATTCGAGTCTGAACTTACAGTGATTTATTCGCTGCGCTGTGGAATTAATCTGCGACAAATATTTCCTAAACTTTCAGAACGCCTACAGTGCCTTTATCAACTCTGAAAAGTCTTGTATCTTTTTGCCTGTAATACTATCTATTGTGTAAAGGATATTTTTCTCTCTCTTACTTATCTTTAAGTCTATCATTTGTCCATGCTTAGAATATTGATGCCAAATATTGTTCGGTGCCCCTGCTATTAATCTTCATCTCCTTGATAAAATCCAAAGAAGAATCAGCAATATAATTGGTTCTGATATCGCGTCTCCTCTTTTCAGGCCACGCAAGATTGCATCTGTGTCTTTTATATAAATACTTTCATGGTAATTGTTCCCATAAGTTATTCACCTTTTGCATTATTATTGTTTTAGTTAAGTTTTAATTTTTATTACATTGTTCTCATTTTGTGAAATTTTTCGTTTTTTCAGTTTTTATTTTAATTTAATTTTTTCACCCTCTCGGTTTTCAGCTGATTTTTTTTCTTTTTTTTTTTTTCTTTTGTGGTGAGATTTAGTTACTCCAGAATTTTTTTTAAATGTCTTGTTTAATTTTTATTTAGTGTTTTTTTTTTTCTTTTTGTTATAAGATTGTTGCTCTAGGGCGACCCGTTATATCTTTTTTTGTGTACATATTTTCACCTTTTTCTTTTTGCTTTTTCATTGAATTTTTCATATCAGCTTTTATTTTTTTTTTTCCGCGTTTATATTTTTTCACGTTTATTTATTTCGAATTTTGTATCCGTTTAAATTTAAAACTCTTCCTAAGTCATTTGTTTTTTTTCTTTTTATTTCTTTGTTTTTTTTCCTTTTTATTTATTTTTTTTCAGCTGCAATTGGTTTTATTTTTCACACCGAACTTTTTCCTCTTATTTTACGTATTCTTTTTGGACTAAGAGCAGACGTCTTTCATTTACTGTTATAGCCAGCATTCTATATTTGTTTTGCGTTTTTATTTGTGTTGTTTCTTTGTTTATTTTTTACTTTAGTAAGTTCTTTACATGGAAACTTTAATAAGTTTCAGTATTTTATTAGTTATAATGTTTTGTTGAAGTTTGTTTTCCGTTTTCTTCCTTCTTTTCTTTAGTTTCTTGAAACGGAAAGAAATTGCGGTTGATTGGATTTAAAAAAAAAAAAGACCCGATGATTCAAGAATATCCAACATAATCAACAAAATAGGCCTGTAAATAAAAATCTATTTCCGGAGACCTCGATGTCAGACTCACCAGACAAAATGGTACAAGACAAAAATCAGTCTGGTGACAAAAGCATGGTGTCCAAAAATGGCCAGAAGAATTCATGAATTATAAGAATGTTGGACCGAAATGGCCAAAATAAGATTAATGGAAATGGTAATGACAACTATAGTGGCCCAAAATGGCCCCAAAAAAAAAAGAATAATGAAACCAATGATGGCTGAAAATGGCCAAGAAGAAAAAACCCAATCAGTGTAATAACAGTCTGAAACCTGGAAATTGCCCACTCACTAGAAGTCCCCCCACCAAATGTCGAATCATTATTACGGAGTTTCTGGAGTGTCAAAGATTACGCACATCTTAGTAAAGAGGAAGGGCTTTTGGTGGATCTACAAAAACTGAAAAATGTAGGAAAACTAAATGTCAGTCTTCGTGGTCGACGAGAGTTCGTACAAACTTTGTCACTCCACGAAAAGCACCGTCATCAATTTGATGACGCACATGGGAGTTAAAGAATAATCAAGGGCATGGGT